TACCGCGGATATGTTTGGCATCTGCGCTGTGTTATGATACGTTTAATAAACGCTCCCAACTCCTGTTTGCTGGAGCCGGGATGAACACCGCGCAGCTGCTGCCGTACATCAATGCCGCCCAGCTCCCACGAGCTATCAAATCTGGACCGCCAACTTTGTGCATCGACAGATCTGCAGCGACAGCGGCTGCTACACGTCCATGTGCTGACTGGCTGCCCGCTGCGTCTGGCGGGTTTCGACAGCGGGCGTCGCATGCGCGGCCCGCCGTCATCCCGGCTGTCAATGGCGGCGCCACGCTATCGCGCCCGCCAGCCGCCTGGCACCGATCGCTTCTCCACGGCTGTCTGGCGCTGATCTGCCGGACAGCCGGCGGCCAGTTCAGGCCTGGCGACGATCAGCCCGTGAGCAGACAGACAGGCAGACAGCCGGTGGCCGGTCCGGTACTGTCTGCTCGTTCGCACTCGGCGTTGGATTGGCCACAACAGGCATATTGACCGGGCAGTTTCCAGATCGCCAGTTTCACGTCCGTCTCTCGATTGGTGGCAGGATCTAAAGAGTTTCTGGAAAACTCTCCGGCCGGGGAGAGCATCCACAACAAAGAAAACGACATTTTCAGAAATCCACATCGGTCGTGGTAAAAACACCGTACGTTGTCCACAGTGTTTATTTCGGCTGGCCAGTTCATTCTCCCTCAACCAAACCAACCAACAAAAGGTAGGTTCATTCGGGCTGGTTCGTTCTTTCTTAACGGAAGAGTTCTATACATGGAGATGTTTGACCAACAAGAATAGAATCATCTTCCCAGTGGTGCAAATGCAGGGTGGAAAAATGTCCCGTGTTCTGTTCCCCATAGCTGGAAAATGATAATCCACATTGACACATGCATTGATGCAAAGCATTCGCCGAACGTTGGGAATTTCTTTCAAGCGTCGCTCATACCCTCTCATTAATCACGACACGTGCTCCAGGTGGCCCCTCTTCGGTATCAGACGGAGGTCTGCGCGCCTTGTGACTTCCCCCACATGCATCACGTGTGATTTTGCGCGCCACCTGACCGGGGACACTCTTGAAGTCGCCGGAACTCCGAGGGTTCCCTCTGAAGATTTTGGATTTCAGGAGCCCCATATGTAAGAATCTAGGGGGCCAGATACGCAGAATAGGCGGTTGCAGGTTTCCACCTTTCTGCTCATGTCACGCTCTATAAAGCGGTTCCCCAGGCAGGTCAGGGCCATCCGTGACGTGCGAGAAGTCGCCCGTCATGCTCGCATAAGATGTTCCCGCTTCCGCCACCAGGGTCTTGCTCCAACTTCCCCCAGAAGCACTACAACCTGTCGACGTACCGCTAGTTTTTTTTACTGTCACCATGAAACCGTCTGCGCTTTAGGAAGGAGAAGAACTTTGGCTGTTCGAACTCATGGTGCATCATGCCCTTGACCGGGTCCATGCATCACCGGGCCCTCAGTGCGATGTCTGGCAGTTCCGAGGTCGAAGACCGGCAGTTTTGGACGTTACTCCATTCAAGGGAAGTACCCCATTCAGGTAGACGCTGGCCGCGCCGCTGGACCCGGAATCGTCTTTGGCTTTTGTTTTCAGCAGGGTGGCAAATGTCATGCGCTTTTAATTATTCCCGTAGTTCTCATGAATGACCACTTTCCACGGAAATTACTTGCTACTTTCTCAGAATAGGCTGCCCGGTTGAGTAATCGGTGCCAACATCCCGCTTGATTATTCACATGCATTTCGATAGGCCGTCAGTGATGATGTACTTCACTTTTAGATGCCCTCTGCTAATCTGCCTTACTTAATTCTCTCATTTCGTCCTTCGTTTATGTTAAGCGCAGACCCGAATCTCGGAAAGTTTTCCTGCAAGGGCAGAATTATCTCCTAGCAGGGGCGTACCAGGTTTGGAGTGAGCTCTGATGCGCTTTTGCGTTGCTACGATGGATCTCATCCGCCAAGACGACTTAGTTTTTTTCGTTTTGCTCCGTGGTGAGTAGCACCGTGGTGCCAAGTAAACAGGGGACACATCAAACAAAACTCCGAAGCACGTGCTATCGAAAGAAACGACAAAAACGCGTATTCGTGTGTGATTGGACTCCGTTATGCGCGTATAAAATCAAAACACTTTTTTACCAGCGCGATAAGTCACTGAACGCCAGTTGGTGAAATTCATAGATATCGAAAAATTCGGTACCTGAAAGGTACCAAAGTGTTTGACATCTGGGCAGTTGATAGGTACCTAGATGGGCATCTAAATAGGCACCTAATTCCTTTTCCACGTTCTAGTGGAAGATGTTCACACCTTCAAGCTTCCATTGTTCATGCGGCGTCCAAGTTTGCCACCGCTTTGCTCGAATTTAGACAACGAATCTCCTTCATTCAGCTGCTGTTGGGCTTAAGAGTGAACCCGAAACCACAAAGAATTGTGGCAACAAAATCTTGCTGGCCACATTAGGCCGCCGGATGGTCGGATAATGCTTGAGACGGGGGCGGAGCAGCAGCCCAGAATAATGTTCTCGTTAATGGTGAGAGCGGTGATCTAAATGATAATTCTGCCTGATGGGCAAGGACCAGACACGGCTCCCAACGGACGAACCATGAGAAGCAAAATATCAAGCCAACTCGTGAAAAGGGCTACGCGCCTTATCGTGTGGATGCAGATATAATGAAAATCAGCCGGCCAAATCAGGCAGGGAAGAGCAAGCCGTATCTCAGTAGCAAGATGAATTGCATTACGCCGACGAAAAAAAGAATAGCCAAGGAATTAGGACCCGAGATTGAGTCAACGTTAAGATCACCCAAGTGTTGACCGGCACCAGAAGATATTGCACAGCTGCTGATCGCAGGGTGGAAAAGATTCGTATTAGCATGCTTCTGGGTGGCCTGCCAAATACACCCACAAGCGTTTATCACAGGATTTTGCCCACTTTCTTCTCAGAGTGTGAGTGTGGGGGGGGGGGGGGGCAGCTGCTGCCCAAACAAGAGGGGCCGTCGTCATGTATTAAAGCCTACGGGAACTGAAAACCAAATTCGCGATGAACGTAGTAAAAAACTACCCTATCACGCAAGGTTTCCAGTAAAAAGGCCGTAAGCTTTACCTATGATCGAGCTTTCAGCACCTGGTCGAGGGACAATACAATTGTATGCAATCATAATGTAAATTGTCTAATTGTCTAAGAAATCATCTCAAATTTGTATAGTTTTTTCTAATACTACGCGATCACATCCGATTGATAAATTCCCTAATAATTGCCTTCGCTGACACTCATGACCTGATTTTGAATTTATACAGGTCAGCGACCTTTAAGGTCTTATCCGATTTGTTATACGAAACATTCGGCTATTCGATTGACTTCAGCTGGCCAAAGTTTGGCGCTGCTAAGCGTTACTTTTCGGGAGCTATTCTGAAAAACTAAGAACTGGGCTGAACTGATGCCCACTCGAGCGCATGACCGGAAACCTGAAGGAAACTTGAGAGCAAATAAA